GGGCACAGAATAGCCCCAGCGCAGTGCGCTCCGGCCACCACCCCAGTCCGCCCCCTATGGGTTCCAGGGGGCACAGAATAGCCCCAGCACCATGGGCAGTGGGATCATAGGCTGGGGGAGGCTGTGCCTCTCCAAACAGCCTGGCATGGCCCCACCCTCGCTCCGCCCCCAGGAGGCCCTCTCCGGCCGTTCCCGTGCTCTGCCGTGGCTCAGTGGCCGGGCCGGGGACCGGGACTGGCCAGCCTACCACTGGGGAGGCCCCTGGACTCTCAGGGGGTCATTTCTGCCCCACAGCGACACAGAGGGGCCTGATCCCTCCTCGCAGTGACCCCCAGGCCGTGGAGCCAGGCTGAGTTACTCCATCTGAGGTCGGGGCTGGTCCAGGCAGTCGCATCCTCCGAGGCCGGTGCTGGAGTAGACGCGTTAGGGGAGACTCAACCTGTCCCCCTCCCGCTCCGCAGCCCCGGACGGCCACACGTACCTGCGGAGAAGGCCATGAAGGCATCATGCTTCCGGAAGCCTCCGCTTGGGTCCAGGAAATGGGTCGGGTCGAATGTGGCCGGGTCTTTGAACTGGGCGGGGTCGTTGTGGACAGAGAACAGCAGCGGGAGCACGTTGGTGCCCTGGGCAGGGGAGAAACACAGCTCCAGCGCACGCATCCAGAGGAACTCTCCGTCCATCCGGCTATCCCTCCGTCCGTCTGTCTGCCTACCTATCCATCCATCCCCTGCTTATCCATCCATCTTGATGTCCATCTAGCTTTTAATCCATCCATCTGTCTTTCTGTCTATCCACCCATCCTATCTATCTTGACCGTCCATCCATCTCTGCCCAGGCACGGCTGGATAGAGTCTGTCTTGGGTGGGTGCTTAGAGAAACTGTCCTTTGCAAATTGTCCCAACCCTCTGGTTCTGTGATTCTACATCCACCTGGCTTCTCCACCCACTCACCCGTCTATCCACACATCTGTGTGTCTGCCCATCCATTGACTCGTTCTTCTGTCTGGCACCGGTGCCGCCATCCATCCGTCTTGTCTGTCCATCCGTCCTCTTCAGTCTGTCTGTCCACTTATCCAACGATCCACCCTCTAGCCATCTGTCCTTCCACCCCGTCCATCCATCCATCTGTCTGTCCATCTCTCGTCTGTCTACCCATCTACTGATGCGTCCCTCAGCCTTTCCAACCATCTATCTTTCCATCCCTCCACCTACTTGTCTATCTACCCATCCATCTATCCACCCATCCTATCTATCCATCCCAACGCACGCCCCTCTCTCTGGCCACCCACTCAGCCACCCGTCTGTCCATCCATCCAACCCATTTGCCAGTCTAGCCAGCCATGGTTCCAGTCGTCTGTCCCTCTCCGAACACCCTTTGGAAGCTGACAAGGGGGAGATTCCAGCCCAGGGGGGAGAGATGTGTTTTCTTGCTCGAACGCGGGGAGGAGGGAAATCCCGTTACCTCTGGAAGCAGGAAACCCCTGAAGTGGGTGTCCCGGGTCACCGCGTGCGGGAGCCCCATGGGGATCACGTCGCCAAAGCGCTGCACCTCGTGGATCACGGCGTCGGTGTAGGGCATGCGGCTCCGGTCCTCTACCGACGGGCTGCGGTGCCGCCCGATCACCTGGTCGATCTCAGCGTGGACTTTGGCTGGGGGGAAACAAGCGGGGTGGGAAGCGGTTTCTGGGAGGGCGGGGCAGCCTGACATCCCGGCTGGTCACGCAAGCAGCAGGGACACGCTCGGTCTGGAGCTGGTGACGTCTGAGACCTGGCTGGCGAGTTCTACACCTGCCCTTTTAAAATATAGACAGTGGCTTGGATCCCGATCTCAGCTGCCCCCGCCCCGCAGCTCACCCTGGATCTCCGGGTACTTCATGAGAAGGAGGAAGCCGTAGCGCAGGGTGGTGCTGACGGTCTCCGTGCCCGCGAAGAACAGGTTGTGTGTGGTCATCACCAGGGTCTCCGTGTGGAAGTAGCTCAGCGGGTCCTGGTTTTCCTGCAGGGGGAGGCGCCCAGAATTCGAACCCGCAGCGCTCGGGTATCTCCCACCGTCTCCCCTTAGTGGTGGCTCCACGGATGCAGTTTCTGGGTCTACTACTGCTGCCGGGCGAGGGGGCTAATCCTTTAGCTCAAGGAGCCGAGCCGGACGCTGCTACCCCCGCATCTCCCCGGTTCAAAGCCCACGGCTGGTGACAGCCTCTCTGAACAGCCAGGGGCCCAGTAATGCTGGACTTTCAGGACCTCTGCTATATTCAGCAGAGGCAGCATGCACTTCTCGTTAGCACGCGGGCTGGGGGACAGGACTGGGGTCTAGTGGTTAGAGCACAGAGCTGGCCTTCGGGACTCCTGGCTCTATCTCCAGCCCTGGAGGGGAGTGGGGTCGAGTGGTGGAGGGGGAAAGAGTCAGGACTCCTGGGTTCTGTTCCAAACTTGCTGAGTGACCTTGGGCAAGTCACTTCCCCGTCCCTCCCATGCCTCAGTTTCCCCCACTTTAAACTGTCCTGCCTCCCAGGGTGGTGCGTCACGCGAACTAAGCCGTGAATGTTTGCAAAGCGCTCCCGGGCACGCCTCAAACTGCGATTCTCCGGCAACGCTGCCCGCATCGAGGGCAGGGCTGTGAGAACGTGATTCACCGGAGCTTGGGTTACAGCTCGGCATCCCACAACAGATTAAGAGGCCCCGGAGATTATCTCCAAGCAGCAACAAAGGCAGAAACCAGTATGGCTGGTGATGGAGCAGGGAGGGTCTCCAGAAAGACTCCCGTCCCTACAAGTGCGGGGAGCGATTTGGGGCTGGTCACGGGCCACTGGCCTGCGTGGCACGCGGCTCTGTGGGGCCGGGCCATGAGCCCGTCCGTTCTAACATCAACCCCAAACAAAGCCAATCTTCTCCTGTGGGCCCAGTGCCAGCCGAGGTCAGCGGCAGGGGCTAGGTTTTGGGCGAGAGTCTTGGGACTTTTTAAAGCCACTTTAAAGGGGAAGGAATTGGTCATGTGGGCTGGAGCCGGGAAGGCTGAGTCGGGACAGGATGCACCCAGCCCGTAGCAAAAAGATTTAAGCCAACCCCAAACAATACCTGTATTACAGGAGCACCAAGGAACCCCAGCCATGGGCTTGCCCCGCCCCGCGTCAGGCGCTGTACGGACACAAGACCACGAACCCCTGTGGCACCCAGAATCCCCTCCTCCATCCAAAATCAGGGGCCCTCCTTGTGCCAGGTGTTGCCAAGACAAGGGACAGTCCATGCCCCAAAGAGTTCACAGTGTCCAGGCAAAGGAAGGCCCATTATCCCCTTTTCACAGATGGGGAAACTGAGGCATCACCCAGTAGCCAAGCCAGGAACAGAACCCAGGTCTCCAGCCACTAGGACACACGGTTTTTCTTATTGAAGCAGACACAGTTTTAAAGGATCAGAGGGGTAGCCGTCTTAGTCTGGATCTGTAAAAAGCGGCAAAGAGTCCTGTGGCACCTTATAGACTAACAGACGTATTGGAGCATAAGCTTTTGTGGGTGAATACCCACTTTGTCAGATGCATGTCAGTTTTAAAGGAGTCAGTGGGCCCACCGCCCCTCCGCGCCCTGCCCCACCCTGCCCCCCGCCCACCCCACGCCCACAGCCCTTTCACCTGCTCCATCTTGAGGAGGAAGCAGTCGATGAAGTCACGGGGGCAGTTGGGGTCAAAGGATTCCTGGTGCATCTTCACCCGCTCCAGCACAAATTGCCGCAGCTGCTCGAAGTTCTCGAAGATCCTGTTGTGAGGCCCCGGCAGGCAGGACATGGGGCCAGGGAAGATGTTGTACATCTGGGGAAAGGGACACGAGTCACCCACGAAAGCGCGTGAGCTCGGTGCACGTGTTACCGTGATGCACGGGGCAGCAGTGCACGTGCATTACCGTCGGGAGCTCTATGTGTGCATTACTGTGGTGAGCTCTGCGTGTGCAATACCATAACGAACAGAGCGGCAGAGCACGTGCATTACTGTGGTGAGCTGAGCTCTGTGCCCATTAGCATAATGCACGGAGTAGCAGTGTGCATGCATTACCATGGTGAACTCTGTGTGTGCAATACCATTGTGAACGGAGCAGCAGTGCACATGCATTACCATAACGAACAGGGCAGCAGTGCGTGTGCACTACCATAGTGAACTCCGTACCTGCATTACCGTAATGAACAGGGAGGCCGTGCAGCGTATGCACGTTACCCTAACGACCAACGCAGTGCGGGCGTGTGGCTCAGTTCGTTACCGCGTGCCCACGCCCGGCACGTTACCGTGATGCGCCATGCAGGGTGCGAGCGTGTTATTGACACGAACTGTGCACGGGAGTGCATCCATTGCCATAACGACCCGTGCGCACACGCTCCGGGGGGGCCATGCATCGCTCCTCTTGTCGGACAGAGGCGTTGGTCGAGCGAAGAGACGGCTGGGCGGGGAACAAGGGGATGGTGACCACTTGCTCTCCATGTCCGCCCAGGGGGACACTCGGGGAGGGATACGGGGGAGACCCCACCCACAGATGCAAGGAGGCCCTCCCAGACGCAGTCCCCCCCCCCCAGCCGCACCCACCTGCCCCCACGGGGAGCTGAGCAGCTGGAAGTTCTGGTTGATGAGGCCGACCAAGGTGAGGAAGCTCCCGTCCTGGTAGTCGAAGCGGTCCCCGAAGACGATGGAGCAGATGACGTTGGAGACGGCCCGGCTGATGAGGAAGGTGGGGTCGAAGGGCGCGGCTGGCGAGGGGAGGGAACCGGCTGTGAACGGCGGGAACGGGAGCAAGCGGGGGGGCCCCGAGCTAAGCAGAGTCTGGCTCACTCATTGCTGGGCCGGGAAACTGAGGGGGGGGGGGGGCTCAGGAGAGGGGGGAGGGGTTCCCCTTGGTGTCAGTGCAGCCCTAGGGGGCGCCCTCTGCTCTCAGTGCTGACCCCAGTGCCCCAGCCTGGCACTAGGGGGCGCTGTGGGGCAGGGAGCGGTGGGGCAGCAGGGGGTGCTGTGGGGCAGGGAGCGGGGAGCTCAGCAGGGGGCGCTGTGGGGCAGGGAGCGGGGCGGGGGCAGCAGGGGGCGCTGTGGGGCGGGGGCTCAGCAGGGGGCGCTCTCCTCTGGCAGTTGATGCTGACCCGAGGGCGGCGCTACGGGGCGCTGTGGGGCAGGGGGCAGGCAGCAGGGGGCGCTCTCCCCTGGCAGGCAGGGCTGGCCCCAGG